TGTTTTTTGTGGTTTTTTTGCAGTCTTGGCTCACTGCAAGCTCCGCCTACCGGGTTTAGTGGTTCACGCCTGTAATCCCAGGACTTTGGGAGGCCGAGGTGGGCAGATCACGAAGTCAGGAGATGGAGACCATCCTAGCTAACATGGTGAAACCCCGTCTCTACTAAAAATACAAAACATTAGCTGGGTGCGGTGGCGTGCGCCTGTAGTCCCAGCTACTCGGGAGGCTGAGGCAGGAGAATGGTGCGGTCATTAGTTTTAATGCCAAAATGGCTATTACTTTTGCACCAACATAGTAGTTGCTTTCCTGAAAACTAGGGTACGCTGCCACCAGGTGGTGATTTGGTTACTAAGAACTATATTAAACAGCCAGGCTGCACAGGTTATTGAAAGAGTCTCTGCCTTGGGCAGGATAGAAGTATGAGATACACACACAGTCCTGTGGACTCCATCCGGGAGGCCGTGTTAACAGTGTCCCCAAAGAGGCAAGACCGAGGCATCGTGAGACCCATGACCCCTGCTGCACAGGACCCTGAAACTCGAATGTACCCGGCGAGCTCCAGCAGGTCTTAGACCAGAGAGAGAGCCCAATGACAGCCTCACTCTTCTCTATCCCCACTGCACATCCTGGGCTCCAGTTGTGGGGTGAGGATTAAGCTAACTGGAGTCTCCAACGACATCCAGAGAGGACCTGATGCTTGTGCCAGGCTCTGTGCTGGAGGTGAGGGGTCATAGATAGATCAGAGCTCCTCCCTGCTCTTGGGCAGCTCCCAGCCTGGTGGGGAGAGATGTGTAACCTGCAATCAAGGCTGTGATGAAAGAAGCACCAGGACTGTACTAGCACCAAAAAGGGCCCCTAATCCAGCCCAGAGGACTTGCTGGAGAAGAGGATACATGTGCTCTGTCTTGAAGGATGAGAGAATGAGTGGGCAGGGAACAGCAGGCACAGAGGCACAGAGGCAGGGAACCCGTGTGTGTGAAATTGCACACAGCTGAGTGTGGATGGAGGGCCATGCAGGGAGTGGTGGGAGATGGGGTTGGAGAGGCTATGGTGGTGGTGGGGTGCTGGTGGCAGTGCCAGTGGACTTTATCCTGCAGGTGAGGGGAACCATGGTGGAAGGAGCAGGGACATGGAAAGGGTATATTCATGACTCCGATGACTCTCCCAGACCCATCCCAGGAAACATTTGGTTGTTTGCATGACCACAGAAGGTTTCTGTCCTGCCTCTTCCATCAGACTATCAGCATCACACATTCTCTCTCTCTCTCTTTTTTTTTTTTTTTTGGAGACAGAATCTTACTCCGTTACCCAGGTTGGAGTGCAGTGGCGCCATCTCGGCTCACTGCAACCTCCGCCTCCCAGATTCAAGCGATTCTCGTGCCTCAGCCTCCCGAGTAGCTGAGATTACAGGTGTGAGCCACCACACCCAGCTAATTTTTGGATTTTTAGTAGAGACAGGGTTTCTCCATGTTGACCAGGCTGGTCTCAAACTCCCGACCTCCTGTGATCCCCATTCCTGGGCCTCCCAAAATGCTCAGACTATAGGCGTGAGCCACCATGTCCGACCTGACTCTTATTTATAACATAATTAGGACCTTAAAATAATGTAAGGAAAAATAAACAGAATGTTTTTACCATAGAGTTTGAGAATCTCAGACATCCAGAAGCATGCCACTGGAGGCGTCCCAGCCAGCGCCCCAGGGAAGACTGGGAGAGGGATGTGGTGCCTCACCCTGGAGGCCCCTAGCCCATACCTGAATGCAGGCCAGCCCTCATGCAAACGGGCACGTTGGGTGCATGCCTCATCCAGAAGTCACCCACAGAGCTGAGGATATCCAGGGCCATGTTGTTGATTTCAGCGACATGCTGACTCCCATTGTGCTGAGGCAGCCCCGACACCACCATGTAGGCATCCCCAGTGGTCTCCACCTAGAAACAGCAGCCTTCACACTCCAGCATGAGAACATACCCTCCCTGGCCCACTGCACATCCTGCTACACATGGCTGCTTCTTGGGAGTCCCAACCCGCCCCGTGGGTCTCTGGCCCACAGTGCCATCTTTGCTAGGCCTCCAGTTCCAGGCACTTTAGCAACGATTGGATCTGTACATTTCAGATCACCTTTGTCTGTATTCCAGGCAACAATGGCTCTTTTTTTTTGTCTCTGGCCTCAGGCCCTGAGCTCCTTGGTGGCAGACCTGGGTACCCCATCTGTTCAAGGCCATAGTGGCACATCAGGGATTAATTTGGAGAGGACTGTATATATTTAGAGGACGCTTCCCATTTTCCAAACCCTGCTGGCCTTCCAAAGGTGTACTAGAAAGAATGTAGGTTTTGGAATGAGACAAATGTAGGTTCAAGCCCTGGCTCTGCCATTTACCTGGACAACTTCACCTGGGTGAGCCTCAGTTTCCTCTTATGTGGAATGAATGTTAGCAGTGAAGTATTTACAGAAGCAGGCATACCAATGCTGAATACACAGAGGCTGCTGTCGTCCTCCTCCTCATCATTACGGTTTTGGAATCTCCTAACTGGAAGGGGCTTTGCTGGTCACCCACCCAATTTCCCCCACCCCAATGGCTGTTCTCGCTTACTCACATCCCTTGATAGGAAAGTTTCTCCTTCTTCAGTAGCCACTTCTCTCTTTAGGCAACTCTGATTTTCTCCTTCCTTCCTTCCTTCCTTCCTTCCTTCCTTCCTTCCTTCCTTCCTTCCTTCCTTTCTTTTCTTTTCTTTCTTTCTCTTTCTTTCTTTCTCTCTTTCTTTTCTTTCTTCTTTCTTCCTTTTCTTCTTTCTTTCTTTCTGTTCTTTCTTTCTTTCTGTTCTTTCTTTCTTTTTCTTTTTTTCTTTCTTTTTTCTTTCTTTCTTTCTTTTTTTTTTTTTTTTACCAAGGTTGCTCAGGCTGGAGTGCAGTGGCACAATCTCAGCTCACTGCAACCTCCTCCTCCTGGATTCAAGTGATTCTCATGCCTCAGCCTCCAAAGTAGCTGGGACTACAGGCGTGAGCCACCATGCCTGGCTAATTTTTATATTTTTTGTACAGATGGGGTTTCACTATGTTGGCCAGGTTGGTCTTGAACTCCTGACCTCAGGTGATCTGCCTGACTCAGCCTCCCAAAGTCCTGGGATTACAGGTGTGAGCCACTGCCCCCAGCTGTAACTCTGAATTTCAAAACTTGAGTTGAGTTAAAACCTGCCTTTCACCAGTTGGTTCCAGTTCCACCCCCTGAACTGTACGCGTATACCTTTCCTAAGCACAGTCTTCTGTTCCTAAGGCCCTGTTTCAGGTGCTCGGAACACAGATGTGAAAGAAGCATAGCCTTCTCCCCTGCCACAGGCCAAGCCTGCCAGGGTGAAGACAGCAACTCTACCCTCTGAGTCTTTCCCGGCTCCTGTACTGTTCCTCCTAAAGCAGGCACTTGTTGGCTTCACCAGTCCTGGGCAGCAGAGCCTCCCCTGCCAGGCACTTCTGCACTTAGCATCTGGTGCACAAGAATAGTGATGCACCACCGCCCATAGGGGGCGCTGTAATTCAAAAAATTTCTCACGCGACTTGCAAGTGTGGACTGTGCCCCACTACCAACGCCCACACGGCCCTGTGATCTCTCCCTCACCCCAGCTATCCTCCACCGCACCACCAAAAGGTGATCTGCCCTAATCACATCACATTCCGCTCTGATATGCACTTCAGTTTGCTCCCTATGGTCGGTGGCTTAAAATTCAGGCCCCCTGGCCTAGCTATCAAGGGCCTCCTTCATCTGCATGATTGCCTGACGTTTTCTAACAGTTGCTTCTGGTTCCCCATGCTTCAGCCAGACAGAAACCTTTTCTACCATTTCAAGAGACACCCAGTGCTTGCTCACCTCGAGGCCTGGAGCACCAGATCCCTCTGCCTGAAAAACTCTCCCCAGTCTCTATCTGCTGAAACCCCACCCCTCCATCGGTCCGCTCACACGCCATCTAGGGCACAGAATCTTACCAGTCCCCAGCAAGAAAGCTGTCTCCCTCCTCTGGGCTGTGGCCTGCTCTCCCGCCCTGTGGTCTGCCTGCTGCTGTCCACCCAGCATTCATGGACTGGTGGTAAGAGTGGCAGGGGTGGTGGCAGGGCTGCCCCAAGCTGTGCACCTTTCCACAAAAGAGATTTTCCACTCCACTCCCCAGGAGGGAAAATCATGAGAGACTCCTGGCTTTCCCTGCTCTCTCTTCTTCCTCACTGCAGGAGGAGGAATGCCTTACTTGATAGGCAAGACTGGAAAAAGGACTAAGTGCCTCTTAAACACTCATATGGTGCTTACTATGTGCCAGACACAGTCCCAAAGCCTTTACAATTATGAATGCATTGGATGGTCACAAGAATTCTAGGATATGGGTACCATTACTAAGGCCATTTTGCAGGTGAAAACTGGGTCAGAGGCATGAAGTCCCTTGCCAAGGTCACTTGCAGCCAGTGCCTGGGTTTGAACTTGGTCAGTCCAGTTCCAGAGTCTGTGCACTATGCTGCCTCTTGCTGCACATAGCTTGGGCCCTTTCTCTCTCTCTTTGAGGAGGTTCTGCTCTCACCCTGCCTGCTGGGTGTGCAGCTGTGACACAGGGAGGGTGCACCAGCTCTGGGGACCCAGCCCTGCCTCAGATGTGTGACCCCACAGTCCAGACTAGGGGAGAGGAGTAGAAAGCCCCACGGTGGCCATACAACCAGACCACATTCTCTGATCTGCTAAAGCTGATCTCTAAGCTGCTGACCTGCCTGATGCCTGAGCTGGAAGGGAATGTGCAGGGTGATTAACATTCACTCCTTAACCCTAGAGACAGAAAGATGACCAGGCACAGGCATGTTCTCCAGGGACTCGTAAAGGTGATGTACTCAAAGTTGCCTATCATAGTGGGCTCTCAGCTGAAAGTGAGGCAGTGGTTCCCTTCACAGATGGGAGAAACAGCCAGGGGAGAGGTGCAAGCAAAAGGTCCCTACTATCAAACGCAGATGTGAATTCTAACCCCACCACTGACTTGCTGTGTGACCCCAAGTGAGTCATTTACCCTCCCTGTGCCTGCGTCCTCATCTATACAGTAAGGATAGTAATCCATACCCCTGACAGGCACTGAAAGGGTTAGATGAGATCAGTTGTGAAATTTCCCCAGCCAAGTGAGCCCTCTGTAGGCGATTAACTAATGCTGTCCCTTCCCTCTGTGCTTTCAGGGATGCCTCAGCATCTGGCATGTGGCAGGTGCCCAAGGGTAAGGTGATGACTCAATGAACCATGGCGCTTTCTCTCACATTCCTTAATCTGCAGAGCAATCCTATACCAGAGACACTTTCATCCCTGTTTTATAAATGGAGTACTGAGGCTCAGAGAGGTGACATGCCCAGGGTGGCTTGGCAATCGGGCCAGGGCAGGACTTACGCCTGGCTGAGCCACAGGTGGGGCTGAGGCCTTGCCTCCGCGACAGTCCCCAGTGGCTCCGCTCTGGAGTCATGTCCATGAAAGTGCACACTCAGCGAGCGCGGGAGGGAATCGCAGACCCCTGCGAAACCAGGAAATGATTGCCTGGCTGCCTCCCAACCCAGACCGGATTAAAGAGCAGTAACCAGATCCTGTTGGGGATGAAGGGGAAACCGAGGCGGATGACATGAGTGATGAGAGATGCTCGCACATCATGAAGAAGGGGCCTCCTCTTTCCCCACATCTGGAGGGTTGTGTGGGCCTTGTTTGATTTCATTTCATTCTGCCAGAAAGATGCAGACCTCCTGGCCAGAGTTCAGAGCAGTCAGACGGGATGATTCAGAGCCAGGGGACACATGTGTGAGGAAAGATTAGCAGCGGAGGAAGAGATGAGGCCAGGGTGACTCAGGGCAGATCAAAGCTGTGGGGCTCAGCGAGATGAGATGAGGAATCTTTTCCTGGGGCTGTGGGGCCAGGGTGACTCTGGAGGCAAGAGGGAAACTCAGGAACGCCTTGGAACTGCGGGCCAGGGCGGGGATCTAAGGTCCTGAATGGGGAACAGGAGGGAAGCTGCACCCTTGGGTGTCGGTGGCGCAGGTCCTGTGGGTGCGTGTCGGTCAGTATGGTGCAGTGGATGGAGCACCGTGGTGGATGCTGTAGGTTCCTGTTCTGGCTTTGCTGCTGGCCAGCTGTGTGACCTCAAGTGGGTCACTTCCCTCTCTGTGCCTCAGTGTCCTCCTCATTCTGTCAACACACATTTCCTGAGGATCTATGATGTGCTGGACACTGCCAGCCACTGGGAAGTGATTCAGGGTGGAACCATAAAATGCAATGTAGGGGGAGTTATGCAAGCATCAAACAGGCACCCCTAACTGTGTCTGGGATGGGGGGAAGGCTAACCTGAGACCAGACACATGGCCAGAAGGGAGCTAGGTGAAGAGGAGGGAGAGCACTGCTCCAGGAGGAGAAACAGAGGTACCAAGGCCTGGGGGCTAGAGACAGCGAGACATGTGTGAGGATCCAGAGGCCTGCAGAGGTGGAGACACAACTGGGGAGGTATGTGGGGCAGCTCCTGGAGGGCTTGTGGACCACTCTGAACCCGCAGCTTTATCCTGAGGATGTCTATCTCATGGGGATGGTGAGCCTCCCCGACCAAGGGCCTTTGGACCACCATAACCTGGCTCAAATCTTGGCCTCAGATCCCACTGAGATCATGTTAACAAACAAGCCACTTAGCCTCTGTTGCTTCATTTTCTTCATATATAAATTAGCAGTACCAGTCCCTACCTCATAAATTGTTTTGCTGAATAAATGGGCTAATACATATAAAGCATTTAATACTAGCATCCAGTATACACTAAACCCTCAATAAGTGTTGGCGATTATGGTTGTTGGGATACTATAAATAATGCTATCAGCAGATTGTCTGGCGTCTCAGAGTTCATCGTGTCCTCGAAAAATTCCTCCCAAGGCATCCTTTTCAATCTGGCTCCAGCCCTCGGGGCCTGGCCCTCCCCTGTCCCTGCCTTTGTGGAGGGCTGTGGCTGGACAGGCTGGTGAGTCACAAATTAGGGCTAAGGCCAATAGAGCCTTGGCGTGGTGTTTCCTGGGACCTCCCTCCATACCTTCCCCACCATGTCTGAAGCTGCCCCTAGACCCCCTGGATCAGAACAAGGGGCAGTGTTGGGGTTGGAAGGTCCCCACAGCACGGGTAGAATGGAGAAGTGGTGAGCAGGAGGTGCCTCCCTTTCACACTCCGTGCTTGACATCCACTTGTGCATGGGGGGCAGGATCCTCCCATCCTCTGTGAGCCCTCCCAGAACTGTGGTGGCCATTCCTATTCACAGTCAAAGAAACAGAGGCCCAGAGAGGGGAAGCTGTTTGCCCAAAGCCACACAGAAGCTGGTGGCCAGGCTGGGACTCAAACCCAGGACTGAGAGGTGCACAGGGAGGGGCTTGAAGGCCCTGCTGAGGCCTCTGTTGTCCTCTCCAGTGCCTCCAGCTCCCCACTCCTGGCCCATTCATGCCCAGTCAGCCCAGCTTATTCAGCTTCCCCACACTCACCAGGCCCTCTGAAGCCTCAGGCTTTCGCACATTTTTCACCCATTGCCTGCCTGGGGCTGCCACTCCCAGATGGGACAATGCTGGGAAGACAGCACCTCTTCCAGAAAGTCTTCCCTGCTCTTTACACATCTACCCCTAGCTGGGTTGGGGCCCTCTCAGCCTCCTCCGCCTCCCAGGATTATTACTTTCACTGCGGGTCATCATCTTTTACCTATAGGACTGAGAGCTCCTTGAGCATAGGAATGGGAGCTGAGTCATCTGTCCGCTCATGCCCAGCACAGGGTCAGGCACAGAAAAGCCTGCTGATAAGATTGTAAAGGGTTGAATAGACAGACAATGGACAAGTAAACACTGTGGTCTATTAAATGCAAAATGGCCCACATCCTTCACCCGCTCCATGTTCACCCCATTGCAACGAGACTGAAGCTTCTCCCATCAAGAGGTGGACTTTGTTTCCTCAGCTCTTGAATCTGAACTAGTCTTTCATTTTGACCAATAGAATACATCAGAAATTGTAATATGCCTGATCCCAGATTAGATCTCAAGAGCCTTGTGTACTTCTGTCCTCTCTCTCAGAACCCTGCCATATCATGTCAACAATCCTGGACTAGCCTGCTGGAGGAAGATAGGCTGCGGAACAGAACTGAGTTCTCTTGGCCAAGGCTCCAGAGACATGAGAGAACCCAAATGAGATCAGCAGAGCTGCCACCTCACCCATAGCTGACCACAGATGCATGAGTGTGTCCAGAAGAAGCTTCTGGTGGCCCCATAGGCTTGTGAACAATAGTAAATGCTTATCATTTTACCCTATTGAGTTTTGGGGGGGGTATTTATTACACAGCAATAGCTGGCTGATACAAACACATAAATAAATGAATGGAACTAAATGTACCATCAAGACACAGTAGTAAAAGGAGGAATGGAATGCCAGCCTCCTGGTATTCTCACCTTACACACGTCATGGCTGCCCAGAATAGCATCAAACAGCATGTAGGGATCGTTGAGCAAGCCCACCACCTCAATGGGTTCACTCAGGGCTGAGATGATGGTGAAACCTACAATATTACTGAAGTATATGGGAACCTGTTCCACAGTTACCCCCATTTTCAGAACGTTGGCCACAGACCTGAAGGGATGGGAGGGGCCAGACACATAAGGTATGAGGGCCTATTTTTGACAGTTTGGAGGCTAGGAAGGGATATTTGGGAGGAAACTGTGTTGAGCATCAGCAGATCTGGTACAAGTCCGTTGGTGTGCTGACTGCCCTGGAGTGAATACTTGCCCTGTCTGGACATGACTTCCTGTGAAGTGATATTGGGGTGGGGGAAGCATTGTGCCTAGCTCCTTGCTCCCAAGGATGTGAGAGAGCAGAAATTCCACTCACGTGCCCGACAGAGTACCTGGCATATGGTGAGGGCTCTATAAAAATATGTTGTATAAGCCATGTGCAGTGGCTCACGCCTATAATCCCAGCACTTTGGGAGGCTGAGGAAGGAGAAACACTGAAGGCCAGGAGTTTGAGGCCAGCCTGGGCAACATAGTGAGACCCTGTATCTAAAATAATAATAATAAACAAAACTAACTAAACAAAGTAATGTGCTGCATAAGAAGAATGTTAGATAAATAAACATGGATGAGTGAATTGAATAAATTCATGGAATCCAGATCTGCTGAGCACCTACTATATTCCAGGCCCTGGGCTTAGAGCTGAGGCTAGAGGTACACTCAAGTCCAGGGGCCACTCACAGGGGAATCACCTGACAGAGCAGCCTCTCTGTCTTCTCTCTCTTCAGCTCCAGTTCCTCAGTCTGCTCCTGGATCAGGTCCTCCAGGTTCTGGGAATATTTCTCCAGCAACCGCAGCATGGAGTCAGCAAAACTGGTCTTCTTGCCTTGGTTGATGCTTTTGAACTGAAGATGGAACAAAAATGCCAAAATGACATGAAAGTCAGCACACCTGGTCCTCAGCTGGGAGTCTAGGGCCACGGAAATGCACCAAACAGAATCCCCGCTTGAAGGAGCTGCATTGTTGTGGGGAACAGATATGTAAATGACAGGGGGACGGTGGCTCTGACAAGGGAAAAGTGCAGTCAGCTTTGTGTCAGATTAATGGGTTAATTTTGTGTAGGGTGGGCAGGCAGCAAGAGGACTTTGCAAAGGAGCCTGTACCCAGCACAGCATTATGGTTAACAAACACAACTCTCTTGCACTGGGTCTCACAACAACACTGTGAGATTCTTTATTCTTCTCAAAGATAGACAGACAGACAGACAGATAGATAGATAGATAGATAGATAGATAGATAGATAGATAGATAGATAGATAATAGACAAACAGATGGATGGACAGACAGATGGATGGATGGATGGATGGATGGATGGATGGATGGATAGATGGATGGATGGACAGATGGAAGGGTAGGTGGATGGATGGGTGGATAGATAGAAAGAATATATGTAGATTATTTATATGTATAATCTATCTCTATTTCTACTTTGTTCCTCCAAAATTTTAAGGATGAAGAAGAATAAAAGCAGTACCACACAACAAAAGAATAAACATATGCGGATATTAGGACCAAAGGAGAGTAAAGGCTTTTTTTTTTAAAAAAAAAAAAAAAAAAAAGGCAAATCTAGGACTGAAATCTATATGCCAAATCCATGCTAGAATTTGGTCACTATTTTGGATATGAACTTCCTAGCAACAAAACAAAGAGGGAAATACAGATTACACAATCCATGGGGTCCATAAGACAAGGGAACATTAAACTAATTGCTCAAAAGAAATACAACTACTCCTAGTGCCAAGCAAAGAAATCTGGCAGCAGTTTTCCTAGGAAGACTTGCCAGAACCTTACCCAGTGTTGCTTGCACCTTCCCAGAGTGCAGTCAGTAGAAGAAGCAAATCAGTGATGGTCAAAGTGAAGGGGTTCATGCTTGTCAAAATCCAGCATCTTGAACTTGTGAGTGTGTGTGTGCGCTCTGTGTGTGTGTGTTGTGTGTGTGTAGGTATGCACATCCAATCTCCATTAATGCCACGTCTCTCAACCAAATGTCTGCAAGGTAGGGAGTGGCAGCAGCCCTGAAGTGCACCTATTTTGTATTGTCCAAGAAAAGCAGAGGCACAAGCTTTACGGGGTGGGCATGACAGCTGCTGACCCTGAGACACCAACAAGGACCTGAAGCCAACTCCAAGGTCACCTCTGCGTGGAAGGTCATCATTTCATAAATGAAGAGACAAAGGATCTGAGAGGTGGAATAACTTGCCAAGGAGCACACAGTGGTGGATCTGAGTTTCAAACTAAAGTCTTTTATATTAATTTTATCACCAGCCCTCCCCACTGAATTATTTTATCATTTGGAATTATACATATTTCTTCTTCCTTTGCAATGTTAATTTTCTTGTCTAATTGCATTGGCTACTACTCCTAGAACAATGTGAAATGAATATAAACCTAAGCTTTTTTTTTTTTTTTTTTTTTTGACAGAGTTTCACTCTTGTTGCCCAGGCTGGAGTGCAATGGCATGATCTCAGCTCACCACAACCTCTGCCTCCCTAAACCCAGGCCTTTTGGCTTTAATGTCAGTGTTCTTTCTCTTGTACCTTACTCACTCTCTCCTTCTCAAAGAGCTACATTTAAAAAAAATTAGTTATCTCACTGGATGGTCACACCTATCTGGAGAGTTAGGCCAGGGTTAGTTATCTTTCCAGGAAACATACAGGGAGGCTGAGGCCCAATAGGAACATTAACTTGTCCAAGGTCAAACAGTGGGTAAGTGGGATGATATCCACTGGATTCTCACATAGATGTGAATCCAGGCATCTGACCCCTCATCTCCCCACAGTATGATGCCATTTCCCCCTTCTTCAGGCTGAATTCATGTGTGCCCATCTCAGCCTTGTTTGCTGTTGGGCCTTGGGCAGGAATCTTGGGCAAGAATCTCACAGTTGCCCCTCACTCAGAGCAAGAGCTCTTCCCCACCTCACGGCCATGGCAACCTCTGATCCCCTGGAAAGATCCCAGGCTGGTGCTTTATAAACTGGTTGCTCATCCTAGTGCTGCTACCCACCATTATGGTGACTGCTTAGAGATCATTTACTGTGAGCTCCAGATTTCTCATCTGTGGAGGGGGGCACCACCCCTGATGCCAGAGCTAAGTGTTGAGGGGGTGTGGAAAGAGAGGTGATGGGCAGGGCTTCTCAAAGGACACCTGTGTGCGTCTCCTTGGACTGCCTTGCTGCCTCTCTCCCTCTCGTCACCTGTCCTAACCCCTTTATTGCTCCCTAAACTGCTCCTTGGCAACTTTCCACCACAGCTGGGGAGTGGAGGATGGGGAGGGGAGGATGGAGAGGGGAGGCACAGTCCCCTTGGGTCTGATGGGTTGGCCCCATGGAAGCCATCAGCCAGCTTGGTCATGTTCAATCCACTGCTCACTCACACATTCCACTGCTGCCCTGCCAGCTTGCACAGACTTGCCTTGCCCCTCCCACTGAAATCCCCAAGGCAGTCCTGGGGGTGCCCCAGGGCCCCTCACATTTTCCCCTCACTGACTCAGGAAGTAGTACTGTCTCCACAGCCACAATGGCCTCTCTCCTCTGGTGCCAGGAGGCCTGGTACAAGGTGGGGTTGCTGGCACAGCTCTGCAGACAGACAGACCTGGGTTGGACTCCAGCCCCACCTTTCACTCACTCAGTTACCTTGGGCAAGCGCCCCCGCCTCTCCAGGCCTCATTTCTCTCCCATGAAGCCAAGAAACTAACACTGTTTCTTCAGAGGGCTGTGGCGAGGATGAAAGGAGGGAAGCATGGCCCTTAGCGTGGGGCTTGACACTCAGGAAGGCAGGGGATAAATGTCCCTGGAACCGGTGGTCCTGAGAAAGCTCTCCTTAAAGGGCGGGCCTCAGGGGTGACAGCGCTGGGCAGTTGCCTTTTACTGCATGACTTTCCAGGTCCCAGGGAAAGCACAGGGCTTGCAGTAGGCTAAGTGAGCTGAACAAATGTGCCATTTTTTGTGAGTACCCACTCCTCTGGGGAGCACTCACCTGGCTGTAGATCTGGTCCACGCTAGGTCTGTCCTCTGGAGCTCCTCCCAGCACCGCTTCAGCACTCATGTGGCCTGTGATCAGGGGTCACCAGCGGCCAGCACAGAGGAGGGGGAGATGCCACCCTCCTGATGATTTCTGCAACAAACACCATGTGGGTGGGCCTGGGGTTCTGGGAAGGGTCATGAAAGGAGCCTGACCTCAGATCCTGAGAGTGTGTGCAGGGTAGGCTTACAGCAGTGCCAGGTTCTGGGCCTGAGGATATTCCTCAGCTCCTGTGTCCAGGGTATGGCTGGCCAGTGGATGCAGCATTGCTGCTCTCCTGGGTCTCCCCTGGGTGTGGCCAAGGAAAGGGTCTCAGACTGGGAGCCAGGAGAACTGCGAGCTGGTTTTGAATTCTGTATCTGCCATCACAATACTAGGGGATGGTGGAGAAGACAATGATCTCTCTGAGCCTCAGTCTCCCCATCTGTGAAATGAGCATAATAAACTGCCTTCTTTTTTCTTTTCTTTTCTGTTTTTTTTTTTTTTTTTTTTTTTTGAGACAGGATTTCGCTCTTGTTGCCCAGGCTAGAGTGCAATGGCGTGATCTCGGCTCACAGCAAACTCCGCCTCCCAGATTCAAGTGATTCTCCTGCCTTAGCCTCCAGGCATGTGCCACCATGCCCAACTAATTTTGTATTTTTAGTAAAGACGGGGTTTTCCATGTTAGTCAGGCTGGTCTTCAATAAACTGCCTTCCTGAGAAGAGTGCTGAGGTGGAAGACAATGGATGTTAGGTGCCCGGCACCTGGCAGACTCTCCCCCACACTCAGGCCCCACAACAGCTGCCGCTACTCTGTTGCCAACGACGACTACCAATGATCTTGAAACCTTGACAGTGCAGCTTTTTCCTGCAGCCCTGCCACTCAGACACTGGTGTGCCGGTTCCCCACAGGTGTGAACGACACTGCCTGCTTATCATTATCATCATCATTATGATTCTGTACTCAAGAAAACCTGGCCTCGCGTCATCCTGTCTCCACACCAGGCTAAGTCAGTGTTCTAGTTCTGCTGTGACTCTGAGCCTCAATTTCCCCACCTAACAACTGATGGAAATAACCCCTGCCTGCTGGAGAGCCATGGGGAGCCGAACGATTCTAAAGTAGGCTGGGAGGAAGAGGGGCTGACACCGAGCTCAGGCTCTGGAGTCCACAGATCAGAGCGGGACTTCAGATGACCCATTTACGGTCCACACAAGGCGCATCACCTCTCTGAGCCTCAGCTTCCTCACCTGGAAGACGGGCACAACCACACTATGTACTTGCAAGGGTTGTCGCAAAGCAGAATAGGTTAATCTCCTCCGAGGATGGCTGGGATCCTCCTCTCGTGAGTGAGGGAGATGGGAGCCCTTGGAGCCAGAGAGGAGAAGTTTCTTTCTGGGTTTCAGTCCCCTTCCCATCCCTTTTTGGCCTTGTTGGGGATAGTGCAGGAGTCACCATCCCATTCTACAGACAGGGAAACTGAGGCTCCTGGGAGTGAAATCAGGTACCTACATAGGGCCAGTCAAAAGCAGACACTAGACCTGGGCCTGGTTTGCACCCAGCCTGCACGATCTCCTCTGCCCAGAGGTTCCCAGCCTACAGGCGTTAGACCCTGAGGGCCCCAGAGTGTGGGATCTGGGAAGTTGTATGTGCTTACAAAGGACTGTGTGCTGATGGAACCAACCATACACCACATGCGTACATGTACTGCTGTTTTTCAAAGGTATGCAGATGGCACTGTAATGAATACAATACAAACCCATTTCAAAGTGTTGCTGATTTCACAGCAGATTTTATCACTGGGTATGTTCTCAGTTAGTGGATATTAGAAGTCAAATAGTAGCATGTGAGGCTCTAACCATTTTTGACATTAAAATGGAGTCTTCATATGTGAACCTGCTGGGAACCCCTGCCCCAGGCCAGGCCAGGTCTCATGCTCCCCTCACTGCACCAGGCATGCTGTCCACAGCCCAGGCATAGCCATGATTGACGGACAGTGCTGAGGGCTGAGGGAGGAGTCTGAGCGTCCAGCTCTGGCCGGACCTGGCTGGGCTCTAAGAGGGTGCCCCACAGATGACTCCAAGAGATTTTAGAACACTGAGCTTGGACCAGGGATGTCCACCCAATCCCAGGTCCACAGCTTCCCCTCTGAGAAATCCCTTCTCCTCTCTGAGTCTCACTTAACTCTAAAAAAGGGGCGATTAGCTACCTCCCAGGGTTGTCAAATGGTATCATGCACATGAAAGTGCCTTGGGAACTGCAAAGTGACCCCCCCATCCACAGGATCCTAAAGAGATGTTAGAGTCAGGAGGGAACCTGGGACCCCCCTTAGCACGCTCCTAACATCACCTCACAGATATTTATTGCGCTCCCACTGCATGCCAGGCGCTTTGTTTACAGCATTTCACTGAATCCTCACAGTTGTTCTGGAAGGCAGACATCATGGTTCCCATTTTACAGATGAGAAGACTGAGGCTTGGAGCCTAAAAGGGATTTACTCAAGGTCACGAGGCAAGTTGGTGTGGAGCTGGGCTTAGGTTGGTGTTCCCTGGAGCCTGTGGCTTGAGCCCTGTACTCCCTGAGGCCAAGGAAAGCACACAGCAGGAAGCAGTGGGCCCTAGGCTGACAGCCTCCTCACGGGTGGTCAGAGCATTCCAGGCCTGGGTCCCTGCACCCAAAGCTGGACGGAGCCAGGCCTGGAGTGCCTTGCACTGGTGGCATGGTTTGCAGATCCCATCTGGCCAGCCCTTCCCTCCTCAGAGGCAGAGGATGGGGAGGCAGCCGAGGAGTGTTGAACAAATGGTCTGACAAAGCCCCCCTTCTTCCCACTCCTCCACTTCATAAATTTGGGCCTGGAATGCTCATTATTCATGGGGCAGTGCTGTGGTGGAGAAAGGCAGTGGGGCTAGGCCTCCTGTGAGTTAAAGATTATCCATTGGGGTAGGATCTGATGGTGGGCTCAGCTCTGTACTGGTCTGCACTGTGGGCCAAGGTGCCCAGGTGTCTGTGGAGTACCAGGTCCCTGGGACTGGGAAGAGGCAGCAGGAGGATGACAGAAACAGCAGTCTGGGGTCCAGGGAGCCCGGACAGAGAGCACAGAGGGGAGGAAACATTTCTGGAGTTGGGCCCTGGCCCTGGGGCTGGAAGAGATAAAGTGTGTACAGGCCAGGTAATGATGGGGAAGCAGCCAGTGGTTATCCTAGGGAGCCAGAAGTGTGAGGACAGAGATGCTCTGAAGGAGCCTGCCTGGGCAGGTAACGAAGCCCCCTGGTATTGAGCAGCCTGGCCACATTGGTCACGGGACTGGGGATCTGGCACATTTGTTATTGGATTCCCATTTATAGATGAGAACATTGAGGCTCAGAGAGGGTAAGCGGTTTGCGTAAAGTCACAGAGTAAGACAGTGACACAGCTGGAGTAGAGCTGAGCTCTGTGTAGCCTGTGCTGGGCATGGAGGGGAGGTGCAGTCGGGGCATGAGCACCTACAGGCATGGCGGTGACACTGGGGAGGAAGGCGGGATGGAGATTTTCACCCAGAGCACAACGTCCTTAGCCCCTGGAGTGGGTCAGCTGCTATTCTGGCAGAGTTGCTGAAGGCAGCCCAGCTTAAGTCAAGTTCTCATGGTCAGACTTTAGGCGTGCGTGTCTATGTGGTTATTTTCAGGTCCAGATTTCCTGATTGCCATAGAGTTTCCCACTAGTCAGAGACTCTAGCCAAGGACAGTCAAGGAGGGGGAGGAGGGTGCCTACCTTCCACTGGGAATCCCGAGGAGCAGTAGGGTGGGTCCCGAGGCAGCACCTCCTGCAGGATGATGGCAGTGCTGAAGATGTCCCCTGTGAGGGTGCCTCACCCAGGGCACCCAGGCCTCTGCAGCAGCTCAGGAGCTGCCCATAGCAGCTCTGCAATCACAGGGCAGGGTCACGCCACCATCACCTACTGACCATCCAAGCCGGGCCGGGCGCATCTATTCTCCCCAATTCACAGGTAAAGAGCCTATAGCTTGCTCAGAGAGGAGAAGCGATCAACTCAAGGTCACCAATGCCAGAGGACTGGAGATTGCCCTCTCCCCCGACCTTACAAACACCTGGTTAAACAGAGGCCCCAAAACCTACTGGCAGCCTCCTGCGCTGAGCTGACATTCGGGGGCTGGCCAGGGTTGGGGAGCCTGCTGAGTGTCCAGGGGCTCTGCATAACCATGGTCAGTGACCTTGAGCACAAAGTGTCTGTCCACCACACAGTTTTGGGACTTGAGGCAGCCAGGAGGGAAATGTCAGTGGTGCAGATACCTCATGCCCTAAGATGGACATAATGGGGGTCCATTGGATCTGTAACGAAAGAGAGGAAACCTGGTTCTCTCGGAATTCCCAGAGGCCCCAGAAAGCCTTCCTGCCTCCCCGTTTACCTGTGGCCATGCTGTTTGGACATCCCTGGGTTAGACAAAGCTGAAAGAGCCCAGCTGTGGGAAATCTGAGCATCTCCTATCTCCCTGTCCTCCCCACTTGCCTGCAGTGCCAGGCCCAGGGAGGGATCTCACGCAGATCAAATCCAGCAGCAGGGAGGCCTTGAATGTCCAGTCTAGGTGCAGAGCCTCGTTCCGCAGCAGGTTCTCCAGAACCAGAGCACTCACCCCAGGGGTCACGAAAAAGCCCAGTGGCGACGTTCTCACACTGCAGCTCCCGCATCTGTCAGGGAAATGGGCACCTTAGCAGCCCCCAGGGGGCCTTCGAGGGCTGGACCAGGTGCAATCCACATCTAGGCCACCTGCACTTAGCACCAAACACAAGGCTAAGCATGGAGAGGCATCAGAAATGTTGAATGAATGGATAGATGGACAGACAGATGGATGAACAGGTGGGTGGTGAGGGATGGATGGAGGATGGATGGATGAATGTATGCATGGATAGATGGTGGTGGGTGGTGGATGGATAGATAGATGGATGGATGGGTGGATGGGTGGGTGGATGGGTGGGTGGGTAGCTGGTAGGTAGGCAGGTAGATGGGTGGGTCAGTGGTTGATGGGTGGATGGGTGATGGGTGAATGGTTGGGTAAATGGGTACCTGGTGGGCTGCTGGGTAGATGGGTGGGTGGGTGGATGGATGAGTGAATGGGTGGGTGGCTGGGTGGATGGATGGGTTGGTGGGTGATTGGTCAGTGGGTGGCTGGGCGGTTGGTGGGTCGGTGAGTTGTTGGGTAGGTGGATGGGTGGTTTGTGGATAGGTGGTTGCATGGTTGGTGAGTGGGTGGATAGATGGATGGGTGGATGGGTGGGTGGATGAATGGGTGGATGGATGGATGGGTGAGTGGATGAGTGGTTGGTGAGTGGGTGGTGAATGGGTGAATGAGTCAATAGGTAGATGAATGGCAGATCCCTTGAAGCCAGGAGTTCGAGACCAGCCTGGCAAACATGGTGAAACCCTGTCTCTACTAAAAATATAAAAATTAGCTGGGCGTGGTGGTGCACACCCATAATCCCAGTTACTTGGGAGGCTGAGGTGGGAGGATTGCTTGAGACTGGGAGCTGGAGGTTGCAGTGAGCTGAGATCCAGCCACTGCACTCCAGCCTGGGCGAAAGAGCAAGATCCTGTCTCAAAAAAAAAAAAAAAAAAAAAAAAAAAAAAAATCTACTCACATACATTGCAAGATGCCCACTGGGAAATGCCTAACTTAACTTGAGTGTCTTAATCCTTCTGAACTTTATTTCAGACTGTGGTGATATTGGAGATATCAATAAAATTCCCCATGTATCGAAAGCATGGAAGAGTTCTAGGTTATTTCATGTGTTCTCTGCAATCATAATCCCCCAGAAGGTGACTATCACTAGCTCCATTTTACAGGGAAGCTAAGAGTTCTGTGGAGGCAAGATTTCACCTGGATCTTCCTGACTCAAGTCTCATGCTCTGTCTCTGTCCCTCAGTGCCTCTCAGAATGGTGACGATCTTGGGGGTGAAAATGCTTATGTGGTTAGTGATGACAGGTGCTTAGGATCTCCCTGAGGGAGAGGACTTTGTCTCTCTTCTCCACTCTGTATCCCCAAAGCCCAGAACACTGCACATAAGTGCCTGGCATGTAAGTTATGCTCAGTAAACAGCAAATAAAAGAAATGATGGGTGGAGGGAGGGGGCTGCAGGATGAGGTCCCTTCATGATGAGTTGTCATGCGAGGGCATTGATGGAGGGCACTGTGCCCTGGTGGTTATGGGGACTGTGGGTTATGGGGTGGTGATGTGGCTTTAAGGATACTGGCATGGGACAGTGACAGCAATAGTGAATTACTGTGATTGAGGCACTGGCAATGGGCAGGATCATGATGGCAAGAATAACTTCCTCTTTGAGACCAATCTGGACCAGTAAGGGTCTCCTGAGCAGCGTTGCTCCCCACCCACCCTCTGCGCCCTCTACAGCCCTGCCTTCCTCAGGAGGCTGAGGCAGCTCGGGCGCAGTTCCAGGTCTCAGCCCACTTCACACTTCTTCAGCCACACCCAGTCTCCCTATTCAAGGAAGAGCAAGAGGTTAGCTGCTGCTGCTCCTCAGCTGTGGGACCTCAGGAAAACCCCTCTACCTCTCTCAGCTCAGTTTCTTCCCCATCAGTGCATTCCTTCTGTGTGTTCTGAGCCAGGCACAGCCTGGTAAGTGGAAACATTTGCTATAACCCAGGCAGAGCCGGGAGCCGGGCTTTGGCTGAAGGATTCCAGTTCCAGTCCTGACACCATCACTTTCCAGCTCTGTGACCTGGAGTGGGTGACTTCAGTTCTCTCAGCTGCAGGTTCCAAATCTGTAAAGTGAGGATGATAGCGCCCACCCACATCTCAGGGGCTTACTGAGATGGTGGGTGTCAAGTATGCTGGCCCCTGGTCTACAGATCAGCTTTGCCCTACAGGCCTCAGGCCCTCATGACACCCCTAGCCCTGTGAACTGCTTGGGTGGGGAGCTCTGTGACCCAGGGATTCATGGGGAGGAGAGAAGGGCCGGTGGGAGAGGAGGGGTCTCAGATGGGGGCTCTACCCTTGCCTTGGCCTGGCCCAAAGCTAGCTATAACCCTGGCCTTCTCTCTTCCATCACTGATGGGTTTTGCCTTCTCAGCCTCACCTACAGCCCGTCAGCCAACTCAGAGAAGCAGACAAAACACTCTTTGTACACCATGAAAGCCTCCTTGCAGCAGAAAAGAAAAAAAGATGGAATTCCCTCAGGGGACAGGTAGAGAAGAAGGAGCAAGCAGCTCATGTTGCTTCTGTGGAAACACCTAGCCTGGCTCAGCTACCGTGAGAGTCTTGGTGTCGGTGAATCGTAGCATCCATGAATTGTTGAACTTCAGAACGACAGCACCTGAGAAATGGTGGCATCCCCAGCATCCTGAGATCTCGCTGAGCTCACCTTTGACCGCCCAGCCTCCCTGCCAGCTGGCGACCCCGGCTCTGCCTGAGGCTATCCCGGGTTGGGTGCTGCCCCCTACACATCAGGGCCTGGGAGACCCAGGATCTCACCTTACCTAAGCAGACAGGAGGGTGAACTAGGCTGGTCTTGGTCCCTAAGAGAGGCCCTGGGGTGAACCGCATCGGCAGCACCAAGGGCCAAGTGCCTGGGACCTGGTTGTTCCTTCAGGTCCGGTCATGAACCATGCTGGGCCAGGAGTTGGGGTCCTACTTCCCACTCCTAGCCCTGCTGCCAGTTTGCCAAGTGACCCAGGAAAGGCACTGCTCCTATCTGGGCCTCAGTTTCTCAGTCTGTAACAGAAGTAGGCCATACAGAGGCTCCCTCGGCTTCTCCCAAACTGACTGCCTAGGCCTGGGCATGGGGGTGGCAGAGGCCCTCGCTTGGTACAGGGCCACACTGGTGGGTTCCTGGGGGCTGGCAGACTCTTTGCTGACCCCTGGGCCACTGATCTCAGGCTCCCACCATCTGCCACAATTCCCCATTCGTCATTCACATGTAGCCTCTGGAGGGGGCAGGTGTGATCAGGAGCGCACACTGGGCCTCTGTCTACTGTCCGCTCAACTCAGCCCCGGCCCTACCCACCCATCTGTTCAGGGGCGAATGGATGAAGGTGAGCTCCTGGGCTGTCAGCAGGATCTGGTGGCGCCCACACCAGCTGCAGCTGCTGGATGCCCAATCTGGAGGCGAGAGAGGGGGCAGGGCAGTGGGAGTGATGCCATCGCCCCTCCCAGCATCAGTCTGGCCTCTGACTCAGAGACGTCACCTTTCCTCTCCCCGTTTCCATTTCTGTCTCCCTGTCAGTCCCAGCCGGGCCGGGAGGGCACTGAACATTGTCTCCATGCAGCCCCTCTGCCTCGGGCTCAGGTCTGGAACCCCTGGGCCTGATGCATCTGCTGGTCCCCGGTTGCACCGTTCCCAAGTTGCCAAGAGTCCTCATGCAGCAGCCAGAGAGGGCTGGGGGTGGAAGGCTGCCCGCCTCCAGATACGCCTGAGACTCAGGGATGGTCTGGATTCAGGGATGCAGAGGAATGCAGACCCCAGGGAGAACTGTTTTCAAAGCTGGAGGGCCCCTGGGAGTCGTTCTGGCCAACCCCCTCACTGTACAGATGGGAGCCTGAAGCGCAGGGTGTGGAGCACGTCCAGGGTCGTGGGCTTCTTCCTCAAGTCTGAAACGGATCTTCTCTGGAGGCAGCCAGGGCCTTGACAAGTCCCATTTTACTTACAATAAGTTCAGACTCCTTGTGGCCCATAAAGCCTCACTTGCTCAGGCCCCAAGCTCATCTCAAATTCCTGTCTCATCACCCATGACACCTCAGCCACTCCACACTCCCTCCTTCCTTTTCCTCCATCAACTGGAGCTTGCTCTGCCTCAGGCCCTTTGCACTTGCTGCTTCCCCTGACTGGTTGCTTTTCATCCAGATCCTCATCTAGCTGCTTCCTTACCATTTGGAGCTCAGCTCAAGTGCCACCCCTCAAGTGCGCTTCCCTGCCCATCTAGCTCTTGTTGGCCACTACTCTATCCCGCTCCTCTATCACTGTATCCTGTTCTGTTTTCTCGGTGGCATTATCACTATGTGAATTTAGTTATCTGGTTATTTGGTTATTGCCTGCTGTCTCCCCCTAACAGAATAGAAACTCTTTAAAGGCCAGGTCTGTCTTGTTCGCCACTGTCTTCCTGACACCAGACGTAGTGGCACATGAGAGGGACTCAGTCCACATCCGTCAGATGGATGACTGTCTGAATGGCCATCAGCACCCACATCCCTGTCACCACCTCCAGGCACTACAGTCTTCTTAACACCAAGAAGTGGGCATCCCCAGGAGATCCAAGTTCACTGAGTCCTGTAAGCCAAGCCAGGCCAGCAGCTGTGTCCCCCACCACTAACACTTCAGATTCACAGCAATGACTAGAGAAAATCCTCCTCTCTCTCCCACTCTCCTGCGCTCCCAACACTTTCCCCTTCTGATCTCTGTCATTTGCTAGAGAGATGCAGAGCCAGGAGAGGAGAAATGCGGGCAAGAGAAAGAGCAGCTGGGCCAGAAATGAGAATTTCAGGGACTGAGAGGGCTGGAGATAGATAAATAGAAGCAGAAGAGATACAGAGGAGCACTGACAAGGCAGGACAAAAAGGTGAGTGATACGGGGAAGAACAGAGACAGACAGAGACGTGCGGGAGTCCCCCCTTATCTGCAATTTCCCTTTCCGTGGTTTCAGCTACCCACAGTCAATCAGGGTCTCAAAATACTAAGATATTTTGAAAGAAGCAGAAAGACAACATCCACTAACTTGTATTACAGTATATTGTTATAATTGTTCTATTTTATTATTTAGTTATTGTTGTTAATGTCTTACCATGCCTAATTTATAAGTTAGACTTTATTATAGGTATGTGGGTATAGGAAACGCAGCATATATAGAGTTTGGTACCATCCACGGCATCAGGCATCCGTTGGGGGTCTGGGAACATGTCCCCATTGGATAAGGGGGACTACCGCAGACATACACATATACATACAAAAGCCACCTCATGGTAAAAGCCATATACATATACATATACATATACATATACATATACATATACGTACACAAGAAGGAGAAAGAGATTGACCACACCCAGGGACTAGGCAGAGAGATGCTTTGTCCAAAAGAGGCCATGTGCCCACGGTGGAGATGGGCCTGAGCGCATGCACCCCTGCTCCTGGGCCCACACTCAAGGCATACGGGGGTCTGCACTTGAAGCATACCCACCTGCTCTGGCCCCAGGTGGGCAGCTGCCTCTCCATCGGGCCAGGCAGCAGCAAAGGCCTTGTCTATGGGGCCAGACTCTAGGCTGAAGGGTGAGCATTGCATCATAGGCCTCTCGCAGGGGCCCACCAGTGCTGAGAGACAGGTAGGAGTGGTTGCAGTAAGGCAGGGAGAAGAGCAGCGTGTCGTAGGGCAGGAAGACCAATCTCCCATCCATCAGGCCCTCAGCCCAGGCACGGCTCAGCAGGGTGGTCATCTCCAAGCCCGCTAGCACTGCCAAGTGCATCCAAGCACCACAACTGGGGACAGAGATGGCAGAGTCACCCTTGCAGGCCCAGTGCCACTGTGGTCTGCCCTGAAGCCCACAGTTCTCTAGCCCTGGAGAGCTGCTCAGAACTCCCGGGCACCCCACCCCCACCCCCACTGGTCTAGCAAAGGTAGAATTTTCCTTTAATCTGCCCCATAACAATAACAGCCAAGGCCACCAAATCTGAGTTTGATCTGATGAAAAATATCCCTTTAATGGAGGATAGATTTGTATTAATATGGCCCTCCTGGCCTGTCTGCCCAATCATTTTGACCAGCGTCCTGCCGTACCCAACCCCATTGGCCCTGACAATTGCTAATACGTATTGATGGTTTCTTTCTTTCTTTCTTTTTCTGAGACAGGGTCTTGCTCTGTTGCCCAGGCTGGAGTGCAGTGGTGCAATCATGTCTCACGGCAGCCTCACATTTCTGGGTTTAAGCAATCCTTCCACTTCAGCCTCCAAGAGAGCTGGGATTACAGGTGTGAGCCTCCACACTTGGCTGTTGACAGCTTTCTCTGTGTTGTCCCAAAGAATCTTCTCAAACATTTTGTCATTCAGTGTTACAACAGCACTAAGAAGCATGTTGACCATTATCTCTGTTTTTCCAGAGGAGCAGTTGGGGAGTTGCCCAGGACTCATAACCACCACAGTGGTACGGCTAGAATTTGAACCCAGGCAGGTTGGCTCCCAGCTTATAACCCTTTTTTGTTCTTTTCTAAAGAATTATTTTAAATTGAGATACTCACATATCATAAAATTCATTCTTTTAAAAATGTACAATTAAGTGGTTTTAGTATATTCACCAAGTTATGTAACCATCAATACCATTTACTTATAGAACACTTTTATCACCCCAAAAATAAATCCATTAGCAGTTGCTCCCCATTCCTCCCTTCCTCAACCCCAGTCAACCATGAATCTGCTTTTTGTCTCTGAGGATTTGCTTATTCTGGACATGTCATACAAATGTACATAATACATGGTACTTTGTGCGTGGCTTCTTTTTTTGACAGGGTCTCACTCTGTCGCCCAGGCTGGAGTGCAGAGGCACGATCTCAGCTCACTGCAACCTCTGCCTCCTGGGTTCAAGAGGTTCTCCTGCCTCAGCCTCCTGAGCAGCTGGGATTACAGGCGCCTGCCACCACACCTGGCTAATTTTTGTATTCCAGCTAATTTTTGTATTTTTAGTAGAGACGGAGTTTTACCATGTTGGTCAGACTGGTCTCGAACTCCTGACCTCGTGATCCACACCCCCTTCCCGGGCCTCCCAAAGTGCTGGCATTACAGGTGTGAGCCACCGTGCCTGGCTTGTGTCTGGCTTCCTTGACTTAGAGTAATGCTTTCCAGGTTCGTCTTTATTGCAGCATACCTCAGTACTTCATTCCTTTTCGTGACTGTGTAATACTCACTGTACGATAGACCGCATTTTGCTTATCATCATCCGCTTGTAATCTTAACCTTGGTCCTGAGTGGCATCCTTAAGGTCTAAGTAGACACGGATACATTCATCTTTACCTTAGTAAGAGAAGCAGCCCCGAATAATAAAGCTGCCAATTTCACCCCCAGGCACCAGGACAGAAGAGAGCCCTTGCCAAGGTCGGGGTCCACAATGGACTTCCTTTGCATCTTTTCTGTCTTCCCCGCTTGGGTCCTGACCAGCATGGCAATGACAGCCACAAAAGGGCCACCACTTGTTTGGGACGTGGCCTGGGTTCCCACTACACTCCCTTTCTGCAGAAAACCCAGGAAGGCTGAGGGTCTCCTTGCTGGAGCCTGAAGACCCCTCATCACATGGACTTCAGAGCCTGGAGTCCTGGCTTCAGCTGAGCCTCTGGGGGCCCATACTGTGGGGGCCACAAGCCCACCCCTCCATCTCTTAGATAGTGCCGGAGGTCCTCAAAGAGAGGCCCCCCAGGACTGAGTGGAAACAGAAGCCAGGTCTTTGTCCCATCTGCTCTGCTGGGCCAACTTCCCAAAACGCCCTTTGTCTTAAGGATTGGAAGCGCTGTTCTGTGTTTGGCCACGCGGGGGAGCTGCTCCACACAACTCGGGAATAAGCCACCTCACGGGAAACGCCAGCGCGGGCTGCAAGCTGTGCCGCTGTGTGAAGGCACGGTCCTGAGCCCGCTGTCTGCAGTAGATCAGCCTCGTGCCGTTAATGAAGAAACCATAGGACAGAGAGGCCTGGTGACTTGCCTGAGGTCACATGGGTGCCGGATGGGGTGGAGGGGGCGGCAGTGGGACTCCTCTCAATCTGACTCCAGAGAGTGTGCCCCTCACCCCTCTGCCTCCTGGCTCCTGAGAGCCAGCACCGTGGCTGGAGCTCAGTGCCCTGCAGCAGGGGTGGAGGAGGAGTCTGAGGGTCTCCCCACCCACTGCTGCCAGGCTCTGGCCATGCAGAGCCAAACTGTTGATGTTCTCCCAGTCTTCCTCCACACTACCTCCCCGCCTTTGCACTAGCTGGAGTGTGCTCTGCCTGGAATGCCTTTCCCTGTCAGCTCCACTCCAAAATCAATTTCTCATGGTCAGGCCCTGTCCAATGTCACCTCTTCTGTGAAGCCCTCCACGTCTCCAAGCAGATCCGCAGCTCCAGCCTCTGGGCTCCCCTTTGCCCGGCATACACATACACACCTGTCTCCCACCACACTCAGGCTCCTCGTGGCTGGAGCCCAGCCTGATCCTCCCCGTGTTCCCAGAGTACAGCCAGGGTCAGGCAGACTGTGCCCCACAGTAAGAAATACATTTTACCCTGGTAGACTCACAAGGCTGAATGTATAGAACTTGAGTACCTTGAAAGGACATCTCTCAGAACCACTTACCCTTGCTATCTGCAATGCAGTCTCATAGTTACTACTGTTCTTCCTATCTATTTTAGTTTATTCTGCTCAATTCTATTCTTCTCTTTTTCTATTCCACTCTCTTTCTTTTCTTTTCTTTCTTCTTGAGATGGAGTTTTGCTCTTGTTGCCCAGGCTGGAGTGCAATGGCGCGATCTCAGCTTACTGCTATCTTCTCCTCCCGGGTAAACAATTCTCCTGCCTCAGCCTCCTGAGTAGCTGAAACTACAGGCACACACCGCCATGCCCAGAGGCCCTGAGAAGGGCTTTTTACTCCCTTTTACAGAGGAGGAAACTGTGGCTCTGGGTGGGACAGTGACTTGTCCAAGGTCTCACCAAAACTTAGGACTGAACTTGAACCAGAGCTTGGCTTCCTGCCTCCTAGTCAAAGACAAAAATCACCTCTTTTTATTGACACCTGGAACATCAGAGCTGAAGGATCCTTGGAGATATAAACATCTAAATCAATTCATCTATGTACAGACAGGGAGACAGGCACAGAAAGGAGTGTGCGTAGCCCTCAGTCCCACAAAGCTGCAGCAGGCTCCCCTGGCCTGAGGTCTTGCTGGCCACGCTCAGTATCCTGAGAACTCTGCAGTGGATGGCCTGCAGGGGCTCACAGAGGGCTGAAGATCTTAGCAGGCCAGCACTGGGTCAAGGCAGGAGCTGGCTTTTAATCCCAGTTCTGTCGCTGATTTATGGGACAGAGTCTACAACCCTTTCTGTGCCTCAGTTTTCCCAGCTGTACAGGGAGAACTTGGCTTAGACATTGAGATTTCCAAAGATCATTCAGCTCTGATGTTCTACATGTTTACAAAAATCCAGAGACGGATGGTTTTTGTCTCTAAAGCTGGCCACGTCTCCTCTCCCAACCCTTCTCCCAAGAGTGTGTGAGCCTCTAGTGCCTCCATCTCTGAGCGCAATAGACTTATGTGCCATCCTCCTGGGGAGAGACCATTTGTATTTTTAGACTCAGGGAGATGGGCCCCAAAGATTAGCCACAGAGTGCTTGGCTCATAGAGCCAAGCTCCTGGAGTTAGTCAACTCCACAGCCCCATAATCCCCAAAAGTTGAAGATGCCTTTAGCTGCACTAACAGATAAATGACCAAAATAGGGAAGGCGACAGGAACCTGGGGAAGGGGGATGGGGGATTCCTGTCATAGTCAGGGGTCCTGCAGCCCCTGCAGCAAAGGGTCATCCTCCTGTCCCCCAACCTGGTGCCTCTTACCTTCTTCCAGAGCAAGCTCCCCACAGACCGACCTGCCACTCTGCGTTATTGGAGTTGACTCGTTGCCTTTTGGTAGGCCCTAAGGTTCCTGCAACAGGGTCCCCAGATGTCAAGCTCTCAGAGTAGACTCTGGCCTGAGGGAGTCCTTTCCCCCAATAGCTTGTACGATCACCACTCCTCTGCCTGTCCCTTTCTGACCCTGCTCCCTGGGAAGAGCCTCCTACATGGCTCATTCCCTACCTGTCCTTCTCAGGAGCCTGAAGAAGCCACTTGGAAAATTAGATCTGTTCAGACCCTAGTGCTCTGGGGAGCCACAAGCAGGAAGGAAGGAGGGAATGAAATAAAGAGAGACACATAGAGGGGGATGGAGAAAGAGAGGGGAGGTCTTCAGCACTCCGGACAGCTCCAGACCTGGTTGGGGGTGGCTCCCAGGAGGAAGGATGGGCAAGCACTAAAGAAACCCTTATTTTATTTGAACCTCTGTCGTGTGCCAGTCCCTGTGCTAGGCACCATTCACACAACCCATGGAGACAGGCATTACTATTAGCCTCATCTTATAAAGTATGGCCCAGAGAAGTTAGGTGATTTGACCAAGGGCACAGAGCTGGTAAGTGGCAGGGCTGACTGTAGGTCTGGGCTTTGCTCATGGATACAATGTGTAATGATCAAGTCAGGGTAACTGCAATATCCATCACCTCAAACATTTATCTTTTCTTTGTTTTGGGAACATTACAATTCTTCTCTCTAGCTATTTTGAAATACATAATAAATTACTGTTAACTATAATTTCTCTACTGCACTATCGAACACTAGAACTTATTCCTTCTATGTAGCTGTATTTGTGTACCTTTTAACCAATTTCTCTTCATTCCCCTTCTCCCCACTTCCATTTCCAGCCTCTGGTAACCATCATTCTACCTTCTACC